CCCCTGTGAACAATTCGTTACGTGTATAATTAGCCATGTTACAGTGGTGAACATGGAGGCTTGGAGAGCTTAGTAACTAGCCTAAAGGGACATGGCTAGTAAGCAGCAGTGCTATGGAATTTTGGAAGGTTGTCCATTTAGCATACTACCTCATCATCTGTTAACTCCAATTGTACCATAATGAGAAAACATAGGACCTGCAACCTATGTTCATAGATCAAGTAATAGAATTATTTAGAATATACACTGTTGAATCTGACATGGGGCTCACGAAACACTGAGGACTGAAACAAATAAGTACAGAAGAAAAATCTGAGTGTATGTGGTTTAAAACATTACTATTTAAAAATTTATTCTACTTCCCTTGGCTTCAGGGTTTCCATTAGGATCAATAAAATATTATTCTTAACAAAAATGCAGTTCTAGAATGTAAAGAATAAGGTGCTTAATGCAACAAAACTGGACAAATAGCAGGACGAACAGTGACCATAATTGTAGAGTGGGAAGAAGAACTGCCCAGGCACACCCTCTAATGAGGTGTCATGCAGTGCCGAGGGCTGCTAGGAAACCACCACTGGAAAGTAGCCTTCTGGTGCTGTTGCGTCAGGGATGGGAGGGCAAATGAGCTGAGTAGACCCAGAGGCTGATGACAAACTGCCAGTGTCTGTAAACACAGTTGTTCATTGATGTGCAGGCAGTGTAAAGATTTCTGCTTTCACAGAAGGAAATGAGAAAGAGAGAAATCCTAGCACACACTGACTAAAAGCACTCATAATTGTCTGACCATGTGGTGAAAAGAACTGCTATAATTGGTGTGTATTTGCATGTGAGGTATTTTACTTACCCATGTATTTGAAAATTAAAAAGAAAATTCTGAGCATTCTGCATGCCAGAGTGTATCTGGCATGTCTTCTGTGAAGTGTAACCGTGACACTCACCAGAATAATGTTTGACACTGTTCCCATGTATTTCAATTTATGGCCCTTCTCCAGTTCTTAAAACCATAGGGCCCACCTCCTCCAGATCCACTTGTGGGATTTTTGTTTTTTTCCCTGTAGTTATGTTAACTCTGAGAAACGTCAGCCCTGGAACCTGGGAAGTATTGACAAGACCAAAGTCAATATCCTTCTTGGTCATTATTCCTAGATGTCAGAAGTTTGAGGACAGACATTGAAAGCAGGACTTTCTAAAGAAAGCAGTCAGAATACAAAGAAATGTTTGCTTGTAAATTTGTTATTGCCACATGTGCTGTGCAGGTGGGAGTCTGATCTGAGCTTAAATCTGGCTTAATTTAGGACAAGTCAGACAACCATCTGAAATGAAGATGGAGTTCGGGACTCTGCAGCTTCCCTTCCACAAGGTTGCAGTTTGGACTCCCATTACAAGACTTACCTATTGGTTAAAGTGCTTGGTTAAATGGAAACAAAACAGACTTAATTCCATGTTCCAGTAAGATCAAGACTAAGAATTGGGAAAGGTCAGATTAGATCTGTGTTTTAGTCTATTCATGCTACGATAGCAAAACACGTGAGACCAGCTAATTATTAATAATAAACTATAGAAATTTGTGTCTTACAGTCCTGGAGACCAGGGAGTCTGAAACCAAGGCACTGGCAATTAGTGTCTGGTGAGGGCCTTCTTGCTGTGTCCTCACGTGGCAGAAGAACAGGACAAAAAGCAGACTCTGTGTGAAGCTCTTTCATGAAGTCCTTAATTCCATTAATAAGAAAGGAGCCTTCATGACCTAGTCACCTACTAAAGGTCCCATTTAGAACTGTCACACTGGAGTCTAAGTTTCAATGTGTGAATTTGGGCAGACACATTCAGATCATAGCAGTTTCAAATGTGTTTAATATCTAGAACTAAACTGGTTTTCTTTCTGAGAATAAAACTTTAATAAGAAATTACTCACTTTTCCAACTATTTTAGAAAATCAATCTTTCTTTTCTTTCTTTCTTCTTTTTCTCTTTCTTTCTTTCTTTCTTTCTTTCTTTTTTCCTTCCTTCCTTCCTTCCTTCCTTCCTTCCTTCCTTCCTTCCTTCCTTCCTTCCTTCCTTCCTTCCTTCCTTCCTTCCTTCCTTCCTTCCTTCCTTCCTTCCTTCCTTCCTTCCTTCCTTCCTTCCTTCCTTCCTTCCTTCCTTCCTTCCTTCCTTCCTTCCTTCCTTCCTTCCTTCCTTCCTTCCTTCCTTCCTTCCTTCCTTCCTTCCTTCCTTCCTTCCTTCCTTCCTTCCTTCCTTCCTTCCTTCCTTCCTTCCTTCCTTCCTTCCTTCCTTCCTTCCTTCCTTCCTTCCTTCCTTCCTTCCTTCCTTCCTTCCTTCCTTCCTTCCTTCCTTCCTTCCTTCCTTCCTTCCTTCCTTCCTTCCTTCCTTCCTTCCTTCCTTCCTTCCTTCCTTCCTTCCTTCCTTCCTTCCTTCCTTCCTTCCTTCCTTCCTTCCTTCCTTCCTTCCTTCCTTCCTTCCTTCCTTCCTTCCTTCCTTCCTTCCTTCCTTCCTTCCTTCCTTCCTTCCTTCCTTCCTTCCTTCCTTCCTTCCTTCCTTCCTTCCTTCCTTCCTTCCTTCCTTCCTTCCTTCCTTCCTTCCTTCCTTCCTTCCTTCCTTCCTTCCTTCCTTCCTTCCTTCCTTCCTTCCTTCCTTCCTTCCTTCCTTCCTTCCTTCCTTCCTTCCTTCCTTCCTTCCTTCCTTCCTTCCTTCCTTCCTTCCTTCCTTCCTTCCTTCCTTCCTTCCTTCCTTCCTTCCTTCCTTCCTTCCTTCCTTCCTTCCTTCCTTCCTTCCTTCCTTCCTTCCTTCCTTCCTTCCTTCCTTCCTTCCTTCCTTCCTTCCTTCCTTCCTTCCTGCCTTCCTTCCTTCCTTCCTTCCTTTTCTCTATCTCTCTTGCTCTTTCTTCTCTCTCTCTCACTCTCTCTCTCTTTCTCTCTCTATCTCACTCTCTCTTTACAGTTTTTGCCATAGGATGTGTGTGCTTGCTCACCAGTAAGAGAAGAGCGGGAAAGTGGGAAATCACCCTTCAGGGCTATGGCCTCACCACAATCATTCTCCTCTCAGGATTTTGGGCATGCATGCACATGTGCCCAACATGATTTGCAAGCCTCTGGGTCTGGGACTCAAACTGCAGTTGTCTATGTGAGAGTCCAGCACCTCAACCACCACACCACCTGCTGGTCCCTGAAACAAGCAGTTTTTACAATTTGCAAACTAAGCCAGATGAAAGGACTTTAGGATAGGGAGTCTTTATACTTAAGTGGACAAACTTATAGTAAAGAAAGCCCAAAACAGAGTCAATTTCAGTTCTTAAAATTTTAGGCCATATCCACAGATATCAGTTAAAAAAAAAAAAGTTTTGTATAACATGTATTTAAAACTGATATAAAATCAAAAAACTTAAAAAAAAAAGATAGAATGATAATAGAACCTTTGGAGTGTTAGGGAAGGATGTTTTCCACTTACACCATTGGGTGCTGGGGAAATACAGGGAAGGGTGCTCACTCTCACCCCAGTTAGCACCCTCTTTGCAGTGTTTACTTGTCTGTAGCTCTTCCCCACCCCTCTTCCCATTGCCTCTCTCTCTTCCCATGCCATCTTCTGGGCAGAAATGTGTTCATGAATATTGAAGAAAGTTGAGCGAGAGAAGAAAAAGAGAAAGCAGTGGGAAGTGGGGGCAACTGGAAATTTTTGTTGCCCTCTATACCCTCTGAAACTACCATGTTCATATCTGATTGTACATAGACACATATGTGTATGGCTTTTCTTTCACGACTATTAAATTATTTTAAAGAGATAAACACAGAAGAAACACAATCAAATGGGAAAGAGATACTAGCTGTCACTGCTTCTAAGAAGCCATCTTTAAATAGGCTCCCTCCCCATCTGCCCCTACCCTACCATCCATCCATTCCTCTAACAGAGTGAGTGGCCTCTTTCCTGTGTTCCTCTAGTCCTTTGATGAAACCTCTCTTGTGCTTGTGACACTGTGTTTTATTGTTGGGTTCAATAATTCTCTCTTCAACTGGGACTGTGAGCCATCTACATGCAGAAGGCCCAGTGAATGAGATGGACAGAATCACACAGTGATTTCCAGTGTCCTTAACACATCCCATTGTCTGGAATGGGAAATATATGATGGTTTCATGGAAAACTCATAATAATAATAATAAGACTCATCCTGTGTTATATTTAATGTGTTTAAGTCTATTGTAAAAATGTTGGTTTAACTGTTTAAGTAGTTGATAAAGGTAAGTAATTTCTAGGCACAATTCTGTTATTAAAATATCATAGCTACATGCAGGTAGCCTATGAGCTGCTCATGATCTTAAAATGATTCAGTCTGAAAAATTTCAATAGGTTAAGTAAAACAACTGTTCAGCTTAACCGTTTTACTTCTAAAATCGTGGATGATACCATTATGTCTGGTTTGGTATTCTTTAAGCCAAAAATAGTTGATACAACATAATTGAAATTTCTAAGTTAATAACTATATGTCCATGAAGATTATTTTTCAGAAAATTCACTCAACATGAGTATACATGATTATATGTTGAGACTGATGTTGGTACATGGTAATTTTCAAAGGAAAAGCTCTAGAACCAAAAAAACAATTACTTGGTTAAGGGAACATGAAATACAGCAAAACTTCCATACACTAAAAAAAAGACCCTAAAATTCCCAGAATTATTTCAGCAGAATTCAAGTCAAATTCCAAAATCTGACCAAAATCACATTTTCCATCACCCTCTTTTCTCCCAACCTGATAAAATTAAATAATAACTAACTAGGTATCTATTGGATCGTCAGAAGACTCATGACATATTTTTCTATGCCAAAATACATCATAACTTTTTCGATGATGTAATATTAGTTGCAATGAGCAGGTTAATTCTTCCCAAAGAAATTATACATTTTTTGATGTCATGTCTTTGAACCAAAAGCTCATACATCTTGGTCTAGAATTGCATGTTTCTTGGTGTGAGACTAAACTGTAACGCCTGGTTTTATCCTCCATTACAGAAGACAATAGCTGTGCATCTTCGAATGCAGCGTC